AACAACAACAACAACAACAACAACAACAACAACAACAACAACAACAACAACAACAACAACAACAACAACAACAACAACAACAACAACAACAACAATTGATGCGCAGAACGGAGTGGACATCATCTTTAATATCTTAAGTTAATTATTAATATCTAATATTAAATTAGAGGTTCACTATTTGAATACTGCAGTACACCTTCAATTTACATCGGGAGTACAGTACAATACAAAATGTTATGCTATTTAAAAAAATTGGAAGGAAAGATGGAAGGAAACTTAGGATTTTGGGGAGGAAATTCTGCAAAAAAAAAGGACAAAAACGAGAAATTTTACTTTGCCAAAGTGGAAGCACTGCTTGTAAGTACGTGCTACTGCTGTGGTGTTGGGTGTTGTCAGTGGGTGTTGTTCAGTCTGTTGTCCTCATCAAGAATTCCGTAGATTCTGAATAAAAAATTCTTAGATTAAGAAGATTAACTTAAGTAAACTTTCCTTTCGACTGGGCTTCTGGACTGGGCCATAATACGACAACAAAATAATGTTAATTTTATCTCCAATTTTGTTCGGAAATTTATAGCAAGGCTTTATACCTACCTAAAATAAAATATTTTTCTATTTGCCTAGAACTGAAAAATATTTTTACAACAACAGTGATGAGGTCAACACATATAAGTTATAAGCAGATGGTTTTGTGTAACCGCGTTACCGCAATGTGATAAGTTGGACAAATGTTGAACGTAAGTTGGGAAAAAGTGGTGAAAATAAGCTGAAAAACAAGAAACTATGTAAGATAATAGTAAAAAATGCAACAAAATAGGGCAATGTGGCAAACGAGGGGCATTTCACTGCAAAAAAGCGTACGGGATTTTCGGATTTTTAAAAATCCGCGGATTTTTTAGCGGATTTTTCCCGCGGATTTTTTAGCGGATTTTTGAAGAGAAAATCTGTTGGATTTTCCGGATTTGTTTGGATTTTCCGGATTTTTTGACGAAGTGTACGGGATTTTCGGATTTTTAAAAATCTGCGGATTTTTTAGCGGATTTAGCGGATTTTTCCCGGATTTATAGCGGATTTTTGAAGAGAAAATTTGTTGCATTTTCCGGATTGAAGTTGGAAAAATACGCCGTTGGCGGAACGACCGACCCCTATAATGGACCTCCACAATAGCACTCTACAACTACATTGGGAGACAGTGACTCAGTGTCTGCCTGTAATGAACCCGACTAGCCACCAACTTAGCGTGATTTTCCACGGTAGCTACATGTATGCTAAACTGATAAGATCGCAAATAATGGAAAGCAGACAAACAAAGCAAGTACGATCAGGAGTCCTAACGAAGAATCAAGAATGGTTTTTATGAACTGATAACTTGATTGCAATACGATCCATTAAAAAAACTGGACTGGAAAAGTAGTATGAGTCATACCGGGAGTACATACATGAGCGTACCGGGCGGGGTTGGTTGAATTCATCACTTACCAAGCTTATTAAGAAATGCCAGGAAGCATTCAGGGAAGGGAATTGAACTTTGTGGATTTCAAATGCCTTAGAAATCGGGTCAACAGGGAACGGAACTGGTTTGTCGTGCCAAATATTACGAAGCCAGTGTTGAACATTTAAGGACATGCAAGCCAAACATCTGGTGGAAAGAAGCTCTGTGGGATGAAGTCCCCGAATGGGAACAGCCACGACAGCCTGATTTTGCTGAAGAATATGGACACAGAATAAGGTACACAGAAGGTCGACTCGAGTAACGCTGCCACGCCATGATTCATCATCAAAATGCTGACGCCATGGTCCTAGCCAGTGCGGGTTTGAGAGGCATTCCCCTCCTGGACATCCACCATTTTGAATAATATCAGGGGGGTGAATGCCTCTCAAACGCGCACTGGCTAGGACCATGGCGTCAGCATTTGATGACGAATCACGAGTTACGCCAAAATCATAGGAAAATCATAGGAAAAACGAAGAAGTCGGCCTTCTGTGTACCTTATTCTGTGATATGGAAGAGTCATCTGGTAAGACAACAAAGGATCTGGTCAATAAGATCAATGACACCTTTCTCTGCACCCGTATGAGCAATTTTGCTCCTCTGTCTCGAGACTTCACTGATAAATTAGTGAACAACTTCACTGAGAACCGGTCCAATGAACTACTTAGCGTGTCGACGGAAGAAGTGAGAATGAAACTTGTAAACCTCAACCCACAAAAAGTACAAGGTCGGCCGGACAGTATACCGGGCTGGCGGCTGGCTATTAAAAGAAAATGCAGATTTGCTTGCGTATCAATGTAGTTACCGACATTTTGAACTCCTCTTACCACACAAGCTGTCTCCCCCGTCGTGGAAGGAAGCGACGGAACATAGTGCCAGTATCAAAGCAAAAACCAATAGTCTTCACGTTAATAAAAATCTTCGCCCAAATTCACTAACTCGATCATATTATAGTCTATGATTTGCAGAAGATTTTGTGGTAGAAAGATATGTTAAACTGTCCAGTTAAAATCTGCCAAGACCTATTGTATGTTGGATTTTTTGCTGAATCGTAAGCAGTGAGTTAAACTAAGTAATGACTGGTACTCAGAATGGAGGGATGTATCAGCAGGCGCTCTACAATGAACCATGCAAATTGGGGCCCTGGCTCTTCGAGATAATGGTGAATGATTTAAACGTTACAGGGGTCGAGGAACTTTGGAGGTATGTGGATGATACCCTAAGTGCTCCCCCAAGTAAGTTGCAAAATAAAGTGGATGAATTTACCAGGAAATCTAGCTCTTAAGCCATCCGTCTGAATGAAAGTAAATGCAAAGAACTCCTTGTAGGGTTTTCCAAGTGTAATAATGATTATGTGCCCGTATAGTCATCAACAATAAGATGATTGAAATCGTCTCCTCTGTTTATATTACTGGGTCTAGTTCCAGTTATATAGTCGAAGACAATCAATGACAAATGAGTTATTTGATAAACTCGCGATCATAAAGGCTGCATTCCAGTTACGCGTTTTTGAGGGTCCTGAAGGGGTAAAATGGGAATTGGGAACTGGAATTTGCTTATTTTTGGGTGGGAAAATGGGATTTCATGCACTGGGACTGGGATTCATCGGCAAAAAAACAATAGAAAATGGGAATGGGATTCGTTCTAACAGAAAATTTGGCCTTAACAAGGTCATATTTTAAACACAAAGTAACAAAAAAAACACACAATAACTCTTCTTGGCATCAGTGTTCAAGTTTCTGTTTCATGAAACGTGGCCGGGGGCGTTTTGACATGGAAAAGTCGGCTTTCGCGACTGAGTATATTAATATTCTCGGCCGGTCCCTATTTAAATTAATAACATATTGCACGCGCAATGCCGCAATATGACTTTACAGATTAATATCTTCGGTTAGGCGAATGCTATGAAAACAAAAATACTACCGTTCGGTTCATTGAAAGAATAGCTCCTAATTCCTAATGATGGTTTTAGTCAATATAGCGATTTATGAACTTTGAGAGGTCAAGCAATATCATATATTTCACTATATTACTCTTTTCTAGAACAATGTAAACTTGCCATACCTTTCGCCGAACATAACTTCGGACATATCCTTTTCGTAATAGTCTTGTTGTAATTGGCATCCAATACACTATTTATAAAGTGTTATTTCAAGGACGTCTTCTGAAATTATGTAAGGCCATCACTAACTCACTCAGTTACGTTAGATGAAATGCGGCTGTTAGCAATATGAGACGAAATTTCCGAGCGGTCACGATTATTTAATTTCTTGCGCAATCAAAATACAGCCACAGTATCGGAGGGTATCCGACGTCATAGATACACGTCCTGTGATTGGCTGGATACCCTCCAAGGTATCCAAATACCTCATTAAGTTACTATTTTAGTAACATTTGAACCGCAGACCGTATCAGAACACCGCAGACGCATTTGAAAACATTTTCCCGATCGGGTTACGTAACGTCCGGTTATGCCTTCGGAAAGCTCTCGGCTCATCTTCGTCGAAAGTAATTCAATGCTTTAAAAACACGTCTAATGCATAGTCTAATGTTACATTTAGAGTTGTAAATTTAAAAATTTACGAAAGAATTTGCCCTCGTTCATCTTAGTAAACTCAAATTTCACTACTTTTGTACACAAAAATGAATTGCGTGAAAATATATTAATATGGAATTTTCCCCCAAAACTATTTTAGTATGCACAATCGGAAAAATCTGACCGTATCTTGAGCTACACTCGATACCCCCTGGATCCGCCCCTGTTAATATACTGTAATCTGTATGGAGATTGTAAATCGGTTACACATACCTGAAAGGTCTAGTGTATTACACCGACCTGAAAGGTCAAGTGTCTTAAATCCCTAATTTTCTGTTTTATTCTGGGTTTTTTCCCTGTGTTTTCCTGTTTTCTTCGTCGTCGAGTTTGCGTTAGCGCATCGCAGGCTCAGTTTCCAGTGTTCCAGTTTGCTATACAGATCAGTTTTCAAGATGACGGCCATTCAATGAGTGACGATTTCAGTCTCAAACAATTTCTTCATTTGTCAACGAATTTTACCGCGTTTTTCTGTCGATTTTGGATTTATCCTACTCTGCACTTTCTTGGAGTTGACTGGGCGGGGTTTTTTTCGTGCAACGTCTCTGGAAATGCGATATCTGGATCGCTGAGTTTTCGGAATTTTATACGTTTAATACGGACTCACGGAATGTAAACAATGTTGTCTGCGTTAGCGCATCGCATGCTCAGAAAACCATGTGCATTTATGGATAACGTTTGTATTTGTGAGTAATACTTGTGTTTCATTGGACATTACGAAAACATATCCTGAGGATCACGCCACGCTTTTAGCCTTTCACGCTTTGCGTTTGCGGTTCACGTTTTGTATTCTTGTCCAGTGGCGGAAATCTCAGTGGGCGGGGCGAATTTTCGGAAATTTTGACCTAAAAGAGGGTTAAAACAGCCTTTTCGAGTGCAAATGGGAGGGGGGGGGGTTGTCGGAAATTTGAAAGTTTTGTCGGAAATGCATTGTTTACGAACGTGATTTGGGAGTGTGGACTTCTTCCAATCTGACTTGGTCCAAACATGTTGAGGAACAATCATAGATATCTTATATACACTAGATAGCGCATCTCTTTTAGTAAAATTGAAGCCAAGAATATTCCAGCGGTTACCCCCATTTGAATAGATGGCGGCCATGTTGGAGTTTCCCACTCGCTAATAAACGCTTAAAAAACAACAATAACTTTCATCATTTGAATAGTTTGAAAATGTATTTGGAATAGGTTCACTTATTAATGTTTAAGTTCCCTGTTTAAGAAATAGAAAACATACGAGTCTTCTAGTTTCATGGGAATATCCTGAGTCTGCAATCACGGCTTCGATTTTTGAATTGCAGAATAATTAGATGCACTAGTGTATATAAGATATCTATGGGAACAATGTGCTCAATCAACTAAAATGCTGGGCTACGTAAGATCGGAGATCTACACTGGACATAAAAACTATCGTACTCTTTTCCAACATCGTGGAAAGTAATACTGATATAAACAGAGCCTGGTTGGAATGGAAAGAAAGGTATATAGCCGTAGTACGTAACTTTATTCCTTTGAGAAAGATAAAAGGCAAGCGCTCACCACCATGGATAACCGGACATATATTG